TTTTTTAATCTTCACCCGAGGACATTTTTGCACTTATCTTCAGATAGAGGGGGAGGGAGAGAAGCAGGAAGAGAGAGAGAGAAACATCGATGTGAGAGAGACACATCGACTGGCTGCCACCCGGGCTGGGGACAAACTGCAACCAAGGTACATGCAGTTAGCGGGAACCAAACCAGAGTCTCTGGTTCACGGGCCAACGCTCTAACCGCTGAGCCAAACCAGCCAGATCTCTATTTTTTAAAAAATTTTCCCCTTTTATTGTTTTTGAGAGAGAGAGGATGGGAGAGGGAGAGAGAGATAGAAACATCGATGAGAGAGAAAATAGACTGGCCGTCTCTTGCATGCCCCTCACTGGGGATCAGGCCCACAACCTGGCCATGTGCCCCGACCGGGAATAGAACCAGCGACCTCTTGGTGCACGGGTTGACACTCAACCACTGAGCCACACCAGCCGGGCTAGTTTTCTGTTTTTTATTTTAAAGAGTCAACACGCTACTAAAGAAGTTACTAAATTTGATTAATTTTCACTGTTAAATTGACATGATTCTAGTTTTAATGGTAAGTACTTATTTATTAAACATTTATGAAAATCCATCATTTTCCCTGAAGCTACAGAGGATGTAACAGTAGGAGAATAATTTTTGCCCTTAGAATATTATAATCAATGAGATGAGATGCATTCAAAAGAAAGGAAGTGGCCTGGCAGGAGTGGCTCAGTTGGTTGAACATCATCCTGTGCACCAAGGGGTCGCAGGTTCAATTCCTGCTCAGGATCACAAGCCTGGGTTATGGGCTTAGTCCCCTGTAGCAGGCCTACAGGAGGCAGTCGATTGATGTTTCTCTCTCTCAAATAAATTAATATATATATATATATATAATATATATATATATAATATATATATATATATTATATATATATATATATTTTATATATATATATATATATATTTTAATACCATAAAAGGAAAGAATGTTTGGGGGAAAGGCACTCTGCTTTGAAATCTAACTTCTTTCTGGGTATTATTTATTATCAAAATCACTTTGTATATAAACTGGAAACAACTATTCCTCCTGTCTTCTCTACCTGAATAGGTTTTTCATTTTTTAATTAAAGAAGAAATCATGACAAAAGCACTAAGGCAGATCTCAGGGAAAAGACCCTACAGTTTTTTCATTCTTTACATCTAACCTCCTACAACTCAAATTCTTTACCCCTACTCCACCAAAGGTGAAGTTCACATGTTCTTCATTCTTTGACACTCACTGTAAGCTATAAAGGAGAGCCATGGCTGGTTTGGCTCAGCAGTTACAGCGTCAATTCGGTTGCAGGTTGGATCCCCAGCCCTGGTTGGGGTCCTGCAGGAGGCAGCCAATCAATGTCTCTTTCTCACTCGATATTTCTCTTTCTCTCTCACTCCCTCCCTTCCACTCTCCAAAAAAATCAATGGAAAAATATCCTTGGGTGAGAATTAACAAAAAAAAATAGACATAAAGGAGAGAAGACACACAGAGCATATAAAGTCCACCTGATCTTAATCAAACTTCTTATAGACCCTAATATTGAAATACTATCTTATGTCTAATCCATAAAGAAAAACTACACATAAGCTCTACCGTTTTTTAAATCTTTATTATTATTATTGATATTTAAGGGAGAGAGAGATAGAAACATCAATGTGAGAGAGAAACATCTATCGGCTGCCTCGGGCACACCCTCCACTGGGGATCCAGCCCGAAACCAGGGCACGTGGTTTCCCTGACCAGGAATCAAACTGGGACCTCTCAGACCAAGAGCTGATGTTCAATCCACTGAACCAACCACAAAGGCAGGACTAAGCTCTACCTTTTAACACATGATGTATATCATTTAAAAGTAGAAGGGAAAGAATCCTAAACAGACTCAATTTATTAAAACTATAGCAAATTATTATCTTCAGCTATGGAAATAACTTGCTCAGAACATAAGGGATCTATGCTCCCTTAGGAGGAGAATGCAGGTAATTAAGTACTTTAGAGTGGCAGCAGAATATACACCCTTATTCATTTATTACCAAAAAGAAAAAAGAACGATTACTGAGAATAGTCTCACAGAAGGAATATCTCTCCATGGAATACATATCCATATACTGGAATTCAAGAGTTAAAAATATGGTTAGTTGTAAAATCTTATTAAAAAAATCCTCTTTGATATTATATGCTGAGTTTAACTGGAAAATAAAACAACTCCTTTCTATAGTTTCTTTCATCTTCCAAATACAGAGGAATAAGATATCAGCAGGGAGGAAAGTAAGAAAGATAAGCTTTTAACAAAAGCAACCTACAGCCCTTTCAGTCTTCCAGCAGCAACCATAAACCAATTTGAAAAAAATATGAACATTACTCTCTTTGGGACTGCTGCTGCATCACCTCCATGTGGAATCTCTGTGTGTCATTACTGTTCTTTTGAGTCTCATGTTTCAGAAGCATGTTCATTTCACTGCCACAGCGTTTTCCCCTAATTGACACCTGTAATTTTATATTCTACCTCCTTTTATGAGCCTAGACCTATAACATACCTTACAATTTTTTTAATCCAGCATTAATCTAAATTCTAGTTTTCTATATATTTAATACAAATGAAAAGAATATTTACTTATCCCAGAGCTGCATACTTTAAAGTCTTAAAAATAAGCTTCCCACCCATTAAGCTTTTTTTGAAGAGTTTTAATTCAAATTCATAGAGCAAAAAAATGTAATAAAATACTAAACAGATGAGCATATTAATTTTTTTAAACTAACATCCAAATATTAATATGAAAAGCAATAAAATTAAAAATAATAAAAATTACCCAGCCGGTGTGGCTCAGTGGTTGGTTGAGCGTCAACCCATGCACCAAGAGGTCACCAGTTCAATTCCCGGTCAGGACATATGCCCAGGTTGTGGGCCAAATACCCACATGAGGGGCATGCAGGAGGCAGCCAATCAATGTTCTCTCTTATCGATGTTTCCATCTCTCTCTCCCTCTCCCTTCCTCTCTCTTTGAAATCAATAAAGGAAAAATAATAATAATAAAAATCAACCAATGGCCATGGCAGGTTTGGCTCAGCGGTTGGAGCGTCGGCCTGTGGACCGGAGAGTCCCGGGTTCGGTTCCCGCTAGGGGCACGTACCAACAACAAAAAGTCAGTTGATGTGAAGAAAAACTGCCTAGCATTCAAAAATATAAACAATATTCAGTATAATATTCAAACTAGAATATTTAAAAATAAATGCTTATTGAATGTCTATTCTGTGCTAAACTGCACTGGACAAATAAGTTTGCATTATGAGTTTAAATTTAAATGGCCTTTAAGGTAGTTGAGTTCCTCACCTGATTTATCAGAAAGGTAGAGTTTATGCAGAAGTTGAGAGCACTTAATTGTTCTAGTGGGTATCAGAGTTGGTGCTCAACTCTGGTTCTCCTAATTACTAGGTCTATGACTTTGGGCAAGTTATTTAGGTTTCATTTTCTCATATGTAAAGACTGTAATAGTATGTACCTCATTGAGTCTTTTAGAATTAAATTAGGCATTTCATGGGACTGTGCTTAGCATGGTACCCAGCACATAGTAATCACTTAATGTTAACTACTATTAGAAGCTGTAAGTAGTAGTTTATTAGTATTATTTTAATCTACAATCTGCAGAGCTAAAATACACTCTCTAGCTACTAGTGGTTTTCTGAATGGCACAGTGGATTTCTCGATTAAGTCAGGCCCTCCCACCTTCTTGAGGCTATGCTAACAGAATCCACTGAGAATTCTTCCCTATAATCCATATTAAAAATCTAATACTCAAAATACTGTGTACATCCTATACAGCATCTATACACTGATGTTCTTGTGATGGAAAATACTAGCAGAATAAGCAGTGCTTAACTTGGTTATTAGCTCCAGTACATCATCCTTTATAACAAATGCCTTGAGTTCCTGTCCATGCCATAGTCACTCTCAATTGTTATAAAAACCCTATACTGCTGTACAAGAAGAAAAAGTTGTCACTATAATTCTCAAAGTTCTTTTGTTCGAAGAATCTGAAACTAATGGCCTTTTTGTAGCTAAACTCTACATACACTGTTCCATCCTTATCTTACTTGACCTCTCTGTAGCATTTGACTCTGTTGACCACTTTCTCTTTCCTGAAAATCTTTCTGGCTGCTCAGTCAGTGGATTAATTCCTCTTGCCCCCACATTCAAGTGTCAATGTTCCCCAAAATGTTCTTTACCTTATTTTATGGGATGCAAGATGAAATACCTTACATAGGCCACCAGGGTTGGCCAGGGGCAGATTTTGGCAAACTTTGCTCATCTAAAGGGGACTGATTTTTAAAAATGGGTGCAATTTAAAAAATTTTTTTCAAAAGAGCTAAATTCAAATAATCCCACAAAATATTCTAATTTTTTTCATGTCAACAGCTCATGAAAACTGTTAAAATACAAAATGTACGACCTTGATAAATTTTATATATCTGTTCCCTCATCTATGAAATGGCACAAACACAAAAAGTATGAATCAAACAAGACACTTTTGCCTGGCCAGTGTGGCTCAGTGGACTGAGTGTCGTCCCATGGACTGAGAGGTCCCAGTTCGATTCCTGGTCAGGGCACATGCCCAGGTTGTGGGCTGGATCCTTCTCCCTCACACTGATGTTTCTACCTCCCTCTCTCTAAAAAGTAAAAAAATAAAAAACATATTAAAAAAAAAAAAAAGACACTTCTATAAGCTTTTATTTTAATTTCTACTCTACATCTATCCCAAAATTAGATTATTATCTCAGGTTTCAAACCAAATGTACCAAATTGTGAATATGAATAAATGCATTTTTCTGGACAAGCCATAAGGTTCATCAGCTTCTCAAAGAAAACTAAGAACCACTGACTAAGCCAAATTTTTCTTCTACAGCTTCAGCTGTCATCTATACAAGGAAGATTCCCAAATCTACATCAGGTCAACCTAGGCAATCAATTTACCTCTGTAACCAACCTCTCCACTTCTCTCCACGTCCATTGTCACTGCCATCACCACAGTTCAAACCTTAATCTCGTCTCAGCAGCTCTCTCACTGGTCTAATTCCAATCTTGCTCTCCTTTATTCCACCTTTGTACATCTCAAATCCTCTAAAACACAGAAAATTTATTTGGCCAAAGGCCATCAGGGTCTGCTTAAAACTGTAAAAGGAATCTAAACTTCTTAGCCTAACACATAAACTTAGCTTCTGGCCAGACTGACCTCTCCCTCTTGCACTATTTATTGCTATTCCTACAACTCCTACAATTCGAGACACAGAATACTCTCTGTCTTCAGGCATTTATTCATACTTTCAGGTCCCACCTTCAGAAATGCCTTTCTAAAACTCTTCCATTTGCTTAGGGCAGAAACACCCCTGGAAAGTCCTTACTTTAAGGGCTGCCCCAGGGCAGCCAGAATAAATAGGGAACCTCCAGGCCTCCAGGAGATCTATCCCTTATCATTCAAGGTTGTAAATGTCAGAGTTTTTTCCTTCTCCACTAGACTAAAAACTCCTCAAGGACAGAGAATGTGTTTTTGGATTACAGGGCCCACAGTTAAATGGAAACAGCACAGGCTTCAGCAACTCCTAGCAAGGCCTAGGTAAACATCCCACCCTCCCAAGGTGAGGCCACACACAACTTTAAGAGTTTTACAGGATGAGCTAGAAGTAAACCCACCTTCTTTGCCCACTGGTATACTTAGCACTCCTTTACATTTGCCAACTCACAGAATTCAGCAGCAGAGACTAGACTTACATCAAGCTGCTGAAAGTTTTTATGAATATACAGCTCATTTTCTACTGATACAAAAATATATATTTGCCCCATGAAGGTAATTATAACATTCTATCTGTACTCAATAGTCACCAGTATTATTAGTATATACTGAATCAAAACTCATTCACCTTGGAAAAATTCACATGGAGAATACTGAAACTCTTTAGAGGAAAAGAATATCTAAAGACCATGCACCAGGCACCATTATGTGCAAGTCCTCATTTAATCATCACAGCAACCCTATGAAATAAGGTATTATTATCACCTTCGCTGACAGATGAAGAAACTGAGAATGAAATTAAGTAATTTGTCCAAATCACAAAGGTAGGATTCAAGGCCAGTTTGACTCCAGAGCCCAAGCTTTAACCAACAAAAAACTACACAACATTGTTAAGTGGAAAATCCTAAGATTATGTTTATATCGTATGCCACAAAATCATACAAAACAAAGAAAACACATCAAAATATTAACAATGGTTATCTCCTGGGATAAACAGATCAGTGTGGAATGAATATGAGAATGTATTACTTTTAGTCAGAAAAAACGCAAACAAACAAAATGGTATTTAGATGATGCTAACAGAAAGGTAAGGTGGGCTAGAGGAATTAATATTTAAGGAGCACTGACTAAGACCCAAGCACATGGGCTATCTTGCCTAATCCTTACCTCAAAAAGTGCTATTTCCATTTTACAAATAAAGAAACCAAAGATGAAGTAACCCATCCAGTAGAAGAGCTGGGATGAGACCCCAAAGCCTAGTCCAAATGTGTCTGACTATATGTAGGATGTCATGCCACAAATAAAACTGAACCGAAAAGCTGTCTTAAACAATCAGAACCACCCTGGCCAGTTTGGCTCAGTGGTTAGAGCGTCGGCCTGCGGTCCGGAGAGACCCGGGTTCGGTTCCCGCTAAGGGCACGTACTTCGGTTGCAGTTTGTCCCCGGCCCTGGTTGGTCGTGCGGGTGGCAGCCACTCGATGTGTCCCTTCACGTCGATGTTTCTCTCTCTCTCTCCCTTCCTCTCTCTCCCTCCCACTCTATCTGTACAAAAAATGGAAAAAAATATCCTCGGGTGAGGATAAAAAATATATATATATATATATAAAACAATCAGAACCAAGTAGCCTGACATCTTAAGTGCAAAGAGGGAAAAGAGAGAGAGGCTCTAGATTTTAACATTAACTTTTAGTGGAGAGTATCTTTGTAAAGTGTCTCAAAATAGCCAGAATTATTGTCTAAAATCAGCATTACAGTCAGAGCTCTGGGACAAACAGAGTTACATTAGCATAAATAAAATGGGCTTGGATGGGACTCCATTGTATATGCAGTGGAGTATCCGCACTGGGGACAATTTGCTGCTTCCAACCCATTCTCACCTATCTACCTATTGCTTACAAGTTACCAAGTGTGTGGGGAGAGACTGGGTTACAGGTCCAAGAATACTGTTAACTGTATTCAGAAATAAATGGCCTCTCATTATCCATAACTATTGTCCCAAACCTGGACAGTGAGAGCTGCTAACCCTGGGGGAACATCTCAGATAAGAATGAACGGATCGGAATTTTTTTAAATGACTTGCTTAATTCTGGATGCTCTGACTGAGAAATTCTGAAATCCATCTAAACCAAAATTTCATTTCTCTAAAAACAGCAATGACATGATTTGCTGAGAAAAATAGTTGGGGTAGGGTATACAAATTTACTTCTACAATCTTTCAGAGATAAGAAAAAATTGTGTCAGACTTATAAATCAGAATAAATACCTACTTTTGAAACTAAATATTTAAGAGTAAAAAAGTATCTCACCAGAGCAACTTAAAACTAATTCCATACTTGTCCTTAAGTTTCTTATTGGTTTCAAATAAAATGTAGCTTTTGAAAGTAACAAACCCTGTCTGGCCTGTGTGGCTCAATGGTTGAGCTTGGAGCCATGCACCAAAGAGGTCTCAGATTCGATTCTTGGTCAGGACACATGCCCAGGTAGTGGGCCCGATCCCCAGTGGGGGGCATGCAGGAGGCGGCCTGTTGATGTTCTCTCTCATTGATGTTTCTATCTCTCTCTCCCTCTCATTTCCTCTCTCTCTCTCTGAAATCAATAAAGGAAAAAAAAAATTAAAAAAAGAAAAAGAAAATAACAAACCCCACCATTCAGGAATAAAGAAGCCCTTGAGGCTATTAGATTAGAAAATTAATATATGTTTGGGTCAGGGTGGAAAAAGTACACAACTTTTGGAATTTGTATATATAGTTTTTTAAAAGCTTAGGAATGTGAAATTAAAACTGTATCTCTAAAGTATCAAATTATGAGGCAAAGAGATTTTTTTAAACCATAAAATATTGAAGGATTTCTTCCAACCAGTATGCCCTATAAATGACAAACTACCATAGAAGTAACAATTTTGAGTACACAGTATATAAAAACATCCAAGTCAATAAGCAATTTCAATTAATCAATAAAGTTAAACCACCATTAAATGTAATTTGCATTTATTGTATGAAACCCATATAATCTCAAATATCAAGTCTTTGTTAAGAACAATGCTAAATGGCCGGCTATCTATCACTACAGAAAAACAGGAGTTTTATTTACTCAGACAAAAGGAAAAGACACGTAGTAAGAATCACAGAGGAGTCTCACTTCCACACCTGACAGTAGTCAGCACCGACCAAGTCATGGGTTAGCAAGTACCCGCTCTTCAGGGGGTAAGTGTGCCTGGTAGGGTGCTGAGAATGTGGAACACCTCTGCCAGCCAGGGCACACGTACACACACGCAACATCCTGTCCCAGGTCCACTAAAATGGGAAGGGGGAAAAGAACAAATGAAAGGAAAAATAACCTCCCCACACATGCCCACACCGGAGGCTGGCAGTGGGGGGCAGGGTACATTAACATACCAACTTCCATACTAAAGAACAGCCAGGGGAGGTTAAGTGTAGCCGCAGGAAACATCCCATCCCTGAAAACCAGGACGTCGGGATTTGGAAAGTTAAGTTTTCAACTTATCAACAAACAACTTTCAGAGCTCGTGGCACCAAAATACAGCTCAAATCGAATCCGTTCAAACCCAGAAAGCACACACACACAGAAAACACGATGTCAGCTCCGCTCAGCTCCCTGAGGGCTCTTCACAGACCCTTCTGAGTTGCAGCAAGAACCAATTTCCTTAAAATCCCCATTTTTCTATTGCCGAGGTCGAAAATAATAAGATAGCACATAAATATAAGTACTTATTATCAGAATAAATCAACCACGGATCCTCGAACCGTGTTTCAGGAGCTGCCCTGCCCACCCCACCTCCTCTCCCTCCTAATTTTTAGTGCGTCCGGGCGCGCTGACAACCAGGGTGCCCCCCTCGGGCTGTTCACATGCTCGTTTCCCCGGACAGTGACCGAACAGGACAGGAAACTCCTGCATCTGGGGGCTGCCCCAGAAACCCAGCCCCTCGGGGTGGCAGTGCCCTCCGCGCCGCTGCCCCCCTGCAGGGCTGTCCCGCGGGGCCCGGGACCGCCCGCCCGCCTGCCCGCGCCCGGGGTGGACGGGGTGGGGGTGCTGGACCGGCAGCGAGCGGCCGGGTGTCCGGGGCGAGGCTGGAAAGGCGACCAGGAAAGCCTGCACCGACAGAAACACCACCTGAATTTACCTCCTCCCTTCCCACCGCAAAAACCCGTCACCAACTAAGCTACGAAAAATCCTTGGAAAACTTTTCCAGACGGAAGGCCCGGCCCTGCCCCAGCCCGGGCTCCGGGGAAGGGGCTGGAGTTCGCCGCCCGGGAAGGGCTCGCCGGGGAGCGGGGTGGGGCGCGGGCGAGGGGTGCAGGGGCGGAGTACCTTCAACGGACAGGAACTGGCAAAGAGTTTCAAAATAGCCGAGTGCTCTCCCCTACGCCCTCGGGGGTCGCGAGCGCTAGCACCAGGGCTCCCCGAAAGGAGGGCAGCCCCCCATTCGGGCCTAAAAGGAAACTTTCCGGGCCGCGGCTGCACCTGACTCCTCACCGCCCCACCACCCCACCCCACGCCCGCCAGGCCGCCTGCCCCGCCCCGGCCCGGCCGCCCGGAGCGCGGAGGAGGGGGATAAATAAATTCAACTATTACCGGATGGGGGAGGGGGCGTCGCGGGAGACCCGGGGGAAGGGGTGGGTGGGCGCCCGTGCGTGGGCGCCCGTTCCCCACTCCTAGGCCCTGACGCCCCTGTCCCGGCAACCCGGGCCTACCGCCCCGCGGGGGAATCTCCCGGCCGGCGCAGGTCTCGGCCCCACAGCGCCGCCGTCCCGCCCGGAGGCCCCGGAGGGCCCGAGGGGGCGCGGGGAGGCCCGGGCGCGGGGGCAGGGCGCGGTCGCCGCGGGGCCCGCCGGCCCGAGGCCTAGCCGGCACCCCCCGCCCCACACCCCCACCCTGGCCCGCGCAGGCCGCGCCGCTCGCCCCGCTCCGGCCTCGGCTGGACCCCGTCCGCCCGCCCGCCGTCGCCGCCCGCGGGCGTCCCCGAGGCCCGCAGGTCCCCAGCCCCCGCCACCCCGGCGCCGGCTCCTCTCACCCTTTCATTCTCTGTCCGGGGCCTGGCGCGGGCCGGCGAATCCCCGGCCTCACGTAACCGCGCTCGCCGCCCGCCCTGCCTGCGCGTCCCAGCCCGCCGCCCTACGGGAGCCCGGGGATGTGGGCCGGGCCTGGGGCCGCCTCTGCTTACCTTTCAGCTGCTTTTTTTTTTTTTTCTCCTTCCCCCCTTTCCCCTCGGCTGGGCTGACAGATCAGAGTGAGAGGCGCTGGCAATGGACTAGGAAGCTCGGCTGCCGCTGCTACTGCTCCCCACTGGGCTCCGGCGAGAGCCTTTCCCTGTCAAGCAAGAGGGGTGAGGATCATATTTTTATTTTGGAAACTAAAAAGTGCTCCCAGGGTCGGTGATTATTAAGGGGAAATCCCTGAATATACTCTCCAGCCAAGAAGGCAGGGCTGCCGGGGCTGCACAAGAAGAGGCAGCAGCCTCCTACAGCACCACTACAGGCACTGCGAGGACATAACACCAGAGAGCCGCTCCTCGGCCCTCCGAAACG